AGTATATGAATTTGTTGACAAAGTGATAATGAATCATAATATGATATTATATACGGGGTGTTCCATTTGAAAGATCAAAGAAGCCGCTTGTTTTCAGGTTGATCCGTTAAATAGTTTGTCAGAAATGGCTAATTAACGCCCATCATGAAAAGCCCTGTATAACTAAATGAATAAATAAAATAAAATTCACTTACCTCCATGTCTGGCAGAGGTAATGTAGCTAAGATCCGGGGGATAGGCACCATTGTTGGCAGCACGGGCAGCTTCCTCATTGGGATAGGGACTGGGGAAGTAGTCCGACAATTTACCTGGACGTTTGAACATGTTTCCTTCTTCGTCAGGACCGTCTTCGATCATCTGTTCCTCGGCCTCGGCCTTGGCTTCCTGTTCGGAATGCGTGACACCAACCAAGTTACGGTAAGCTATGAATCTCATAGAGTGACAGGCTGCACAGACTTGCTTGTAGACTTCGTAGCCCCTCCTCACACTAAGGCAAACAATTGAAATGTAAAGCTAAGTTTTTTGTTGTACAACTGACGAGGAATATTCAACGTTCTTATGAGTCATGCAACAAACTCAAAAGGATCACAGTTCCCTGGCAAGGAATCAATTCTTTCCTAGACATTGTTGAAAGTTTTAATCAATGTAAGTCATGAATTGAGTATGATTACTCCATAAATACTTAACCTCTAAAACACATTCAAGATAAAAGATTGATTACTGAAGATTTCGAAAGCGTATTCGACACAAAATTGTCACTATCGAATCAAATAGAATTGCACTCAAATTTATTGATGATATTATGATGTGAAAGAAATTTTGAAGTCGACTTACCTGGCATGATCGAGGGAACTGAACATTCCAGAATGACTCCATACGTTTTTGGGAGGGTGTAGTTCAAGATCAGACGCTCTTACTGACTGATCTAATGCTAACGCGAGGGCCCCGACACCGCCTGCCAATACCCCAAGGCCTCCAAGAAGCTGAAATTATAAGGAACAGTGAGTGTTTGTCACGTCATATTTTTCTATGTCCAGGGTATATTTTCAGGAGAGTATTAGTTTTTGTGTGGCATTAGAAAATAAAGTCCCAGTAAATACTTACTGCTTTTTTGCTTCTTGTCCATTCTCTGGTCGTTGAATATAAACTAATCTAAAAAAACAGAAATAAATCAATGATCTTCGGAGTTAGAACCTCATACTTGAAAAATAAAAGGATGACATAACAGTATCAAAAGAACAATTTGCAAATACACAACTATAGAGAGTTGGTACGAAAAACCTGTTGTTATTAAAAGTATAATTTTCCTCTTGAGTTAAAGTATTTCCATTTACCTGGCTGACTGACGATAAATTAGAGGGTTTTAATAAACCAGCACCACAAATTCGTCCTACCCTCGCTGCCATGTTGCTGGGAAGGTAATGGTCAGATAGCAGATGTTGGTAGGGTTACCAGACTTGTGAAGTTCAAAAATTCAATCGAATGGGATTGTACAAAAAACTTAAAAACTAAGGCCTGGTCAGTTTTTGAAAATTTACAGGAATAGAGAGAAAAATATTTCTCTACGGATGACAGTTTACGTAACTTCAAAAGCGATGTTGCCAGAGGAAAAATGACAGAGTTCGCTTTATTCTCGGTGTTCTCGGTAACACTGGGTTTCATTACCATTTTTTCTGATTATATTCAAATACAGCTCGATATTCATTTATATCTATCTCTATTATTCCAATTTTTCATATTGGATAAAAATTATTGTTTGACCACTGTTCTGTAAATTCACAAAACAGCGAGTTGGACAGTTTGACAATGAAGTTTCTTGAAATATGGCGGCGACAAAAAGTGAGATGCTTCCACAACGGATATATTCTCCTATATTTCAAGATTAACTGAATGATACTTCTAGTGGACCAATTGACGGCGTACTCTACCATCTACTCTCACTATTACCCAATAGATGTCACGACGTAATAGCTGCTCATTGAGAACATACTCCCGCAAAAGAAAGTCTCAACATACATGTAGCTGCAGACCGAGTGGGTCTCCAGCTAGGTAGAGGGAACCACCATGCATACACTACAAACAGTAAAGTCAAGTTCAACAAACAGAACTTCACACCGCTCGAAAGTGAGTGAGGCTGGCTGGATGTGATTCTAGCTTCCATGTGAGGGCTCAACCCTTGAGTTGGTAGACGGTCTTGTGACCCGGAAAGACTCAGGCCAAATTTCAATTCGGGCACTGAAATCTCTACCCAGAGCTTGACCACAACCTCTGAGTAGCAGAGCAGAACGCGTCATCCTAAAAAGACATCCTACCATTGAAGTGGTATCGAGTCCGATATGGTGCGGACTCGTGGCAAAGGTAACTAATTTTCGCTACACGAGACCAACGGTGACACAAATCGGTTCTTTTGTAGCTGACCGACGATGCCAATGCAGAATAGGACAGAAACTCCCAAGTCCCACAAATCGCGGTGTACACAGCTGACGTGCCCAAGCCAAAGAATAACTTCAACAAGTTGGCTTTCCACGCGGACGACACACATCTGCTGGTAAGATCTACAAACCACTCGTTAGTAACAGTATAGTTGCAACAACAAGCATACAGATTAGAGGAACTGGAAGATGAGGTTTCAAACCTGACAATAGTCAGACAATTTTATTCACCTGGAGGAAAATACACACGGAAGGCAGCCTGAGGCTAAGTTTTCGTATGATCATCAAATCGTAGTTTGTCATGTATATGCATAAAATTCTTAGGTTCTTAGCCTCGAGCTGCCATGCAATTAGAGATATCACTAAGTTGGTTGGCAGCAAGGGTGGTATATACAGGGTGTAACTAAATAAGTGTAAAACATTCAAGGAGGTGATTCCTCATCAGTAATAAGATAGGATCTTTCATATAAAGAAACTTCATTGGAGCATTCCTTGTTAAGATACAGCCCCTTAAAGGGGGTACATAAAATTTGTATAACAATTTTTTTCACAAGCACTGAAAAAGTTACAATATTGAAATTAANTTGGAAATAAATTTTAGGGGTTGCGTTTTCCACCCCTTACAACCATGGGGTAAACCAAATAAAATTCTGGCTGAGTGTCTTTTTTGGTAGTACAAAACGTCAGGTCAATTTCAATATTGTAACTTTTTCAGTGCTTGTGAAAAAAATTGTTATACAAATTTTATGTACCCCCTTTAAAGGGCTGTATCTTAACAAGGGATGCTCCAATGAAATTTCTTTATATGAATGATCCTATCTTTTTTCCGATGAGGAATTACCTCCTCAAATGTTTTACGCTTATTCAGTTACACCCTGTGTACCTAAAGTGGATCGGAAAGACCTACACCCTAAATCGGTACAACCAATCAGGTTTACATCCTTCCTGTTGCACCCTGTATACCTAAAGTGGGTCGGAAATACCTACACCCTAAATCGGTACGACCCATCAGGTTTACATCCTTCCTGTTGAAAGGACTTGAGAGGATACAGGAGGGTGGCATTTTATTCATCCCCCCTGAATAACCACCACTTATCAAACAGTTAAATCGACAGATTTAGCAATGAACAACCATGTAGAGAGAATTTCCCAATCCCTTGACAGCAACAAGGATATTGCGGTTGCTGCATTTCTCGATATTGAAGGAGCATTTGACAATGCACTACCCAAGTCTATAGTATCATCTCTGGCTAGGAAAGGCATAGAATCGACCATAACTGGCTGGATCTATGCCATGTCGGTAAACAGAACTACAACTACGACTCTTCAAGGCGAGACCATTAGAATATTCAGGGTTACCAGAGGCTGCCCTCATGGTGGGGTACTGTCTCTCCTTCTGTAGTCGCTCCTGCTTGATGCTTGATGCCCTTGACAGAAGAAAAGTAGATCTGCAGGCTAATGCAGATGACCTTGTCATCTTGGCAAGGTCCACATCGGGAAGGGTAGCTTGTAATATTCTCCAAAGCACGATGGACGTTGTTCACAGTTGGTGCCTGAGGGAGCAGATGTCTGTCAACCCCAGCAAAACTGTGATAATGCCCTTCACCGGGAGGAGAAAATTGAACAATCTAAGTCCACTTTCGCTCAATGGTTAGGTCATTCCATTTGGAACGGAGGTGAAATATCTTGGCATTGTTCTTGTTCAAAAACTCACCTGGAACGCTCACTTGGAAAAAGTTTTACACAAAGCTAGACTGTCTCTATGGACATGTCGGAGGATTTATGGTAAAACTTGGGGTTTAGTTCCCAAACAAATCTATTGGATTTATGTGATCGTTGTCAGACCAATAATCACTTATGGTGCACTTGCCTGGTGGCCGAAGGCTTTACAGAAAACGGCCCAGGCGAAGCTGTCTGGATTACAGAGACAGGCTTGTCTGGCTATCAGTGGTGCCATCAGTCAGCGGCCATGGAGATCCTTCTGGATCTACCTCCTTCCCACATTTTCCGGTAGAGAGAGGCTGGATGGACTACATATAGACTTGTACACATTGCCAATTGCACAAATCATTTTAATGCAGAGTGCAACAGACTGTTGGTTGACATTGGAAGTCACAGCTTTCTGGAAATGTCCTTTGACTTTATGCCTCCATCTGTCAACTACGAACTGCCTTATGCAGAATGGCTTACTTTTCTCTCATTGAATCACACTTAATATTTCAACATTTCCTTTTGGGGATTTTGCTGTAATCAGCTAATGAGCTCAGTATTTGTCTTACAGAGAAGAGCTATTGGATATCTATTCAAAGCTAAATCCAGAGATCAGTGTAAACCTCTTTTTCAAAACATGTAAATGTGACCCTAACTAGTATTTTCATCTTGGAGACAGTGTGCTTCCACATACATTTCACAATATGGAAATCTGTCATCCCTAAGGTGTAGCATCCCTAAGGTGTAGCACCCCTAAGGTGTAGCATCCCTAAGGTGTAGCATCCCTAAAGTTGAAATTTTCCAAAGAGAAAACAGACCCAATTTTTGCACTAATTCACAATCTTATCCCACCGGAAAATTCAAATCTGACCCTGTCACGATGACAATCATATGAGTTTTGTTTACATTGGAAAGAGGATACGTCTAAGGACTTGTTAATTTTTTGGGAAAATAGCTTTTTGTTTTTCTACTTCTATATCTTTATAGAAAAAATGTGGGAAATACCACTGCTTAATTTTTTTTCTACACCAGGACAAATACTGTCTCCAGTCGAGCGTTTCGCTCGTTTTTGCCATTATTGGTTTTTTACGCACTGAACCATTTATGCTGTAAAATAATAGTCACCTTGCTACCTACTTCATCATTTTTCGACGTGATCGAATTTATTCCTAATCGAAGGATTCAGAAAAGCGGAGGAAGATACAACAAGACAGTGACATGTAATTACGAAAAAAGGTCTTTAGAAGTTTTCCCAGTCGTACATTTGCGTATTTATACATTATTTCTGAGGAAAACGAATTGGATCGGACAGGCGTCGAAATGAAATGAGTTCCCTTGGATTTTATGCATAAATATGTTTTGTCATTCATGTATTCATTTCATCTCGAATATTCCTCAAGGGCATACATGCCCTTGGGTATATGTTTTCGAAGTTTCAAGTATATATTCATTTTCAGTATTCGATATCTGTGTTACTAATTTATGTCTACAGTCAAAAATGAAGTGAATAGTGCAGAAAGTGGTTATACATAAAATTTCTTTCTTCTTCAGTGATTTTCATTGAATTTTCCATCCCAAACTGATGATGAGCGATGATAAAATTGATTCCAGCCCACGTGTATTATAAGACTGCTTCGAAGAGGACAAAATAGAAATTGATAAATATATAAATATTTTTGAAGAAGAATGAAATATGAACCAATATTATGTAGGCTATTCAACTTTCCTTACAGAAAAAGAGTTCTATATAATAGTTGGTCCACTCAACTTTGAGCGACCATCTATACCAGCAATGATCAATAAGTAGTCTTCTTTTGGAACAATTCAATCAAGAAACACCGAGAGTCTTGAGCTGTTGCATTTCTAAGGCCTTTCACAGATTGAATTACCCTTTTCTGAAACTCTTTCGTTTGGAAATTGGCGTCCTTACAGAACAAACATATAATTACAGACACCAGCGATTCAAATCCAACGGTTATCGCCTCTGTTGCGTTTCCATTGAAAAAACACCAACATTTTACCATATATTGATCGCCTGAGAACCGTTTCATAATCACCATTTCTGATCAGAATTGCACCCCATGATCCCTTGCCACATGGCCATTAGTTACCATTAGGCGGTGCGCCTCTCCCTGTCAAATAATAACGCTGTCATTATTGAGCCAAAGGATACTTTGGAAGAAATTCGAAACAATCATCTTTCCCAGCCTTCCTACGGTGACTTTGGAAAACAACTACTTTCCAGGTTAATACCTCCATGGATATTGGGTTACATGCCACAAGCATTTGTGCTAAACAAGCCCTATTGCAGATGTTTCCAGTGTTTTGCAATAAGAATTTCATGAAATCAACCGAATAATCACTCAGGAATGGGTTTCAGAGAATTATTTATCCACTAATCATTTCATTTTTGTNCTTGAGCTGTTGCATTTCTAAGGCCTTTCACAGATTGAATTACCCTTTTCTGAAA